CTTTTGAGCCGGGACCCTCCCCCACTGGTCTGAAGACATTATCTTTGCACATTTGTACTAATAATCCCTGTGAGCCACTTTTTGACTATTTGAGAACTGAGCTAATTACGTTACAACTGATCTGGTCCTTTCCCACTTGTTTTGGTTTTCTGAAGGTTAAAGAAAACGTATCAATCAGTGACGTGGAAGATGCTGAGGTGAGATCCTGGGTTTTTTGTATGGACAGAAAACCATGTGAATGTTGTGAAAATTCTGGTCATATTGCTTAATGCTAGCTGTGTACCAACGATAAAACATGTCTTCTGCTGGGGCATGATCCCAGACATTTCAAGGAAATATATTCATAGTTTATTCAGAATGACATAATGAATGTTATTATTGTAACGCTGAATTCTTCAAAAAAGGAATCCAAAAGAGAGTGTCTTCTTCTCCCAGCACAGACCTGTACCAGACTGCATGCACTGGCACAGCCTCAAACCAGCTCCATCTGCGAACACTTACCCCACTTCCACAACAGAGACCCCCCCACACACACACACACACCCACACACACAGACACACACACACACACACACATGCAGTCCCAGTAAGACGATACACCCCCACCCCATACTATACTATGAGCGATCGTATAGAGCCAGCACAGCCACTGCCTACTGTTAGTGGGAAACAGTGAAATTAGAGGATTTTCTTACTAAAATAACACTGGATTATTATCGATCAAAACTCACATCAGCCACAGTCGAACTGAACAATGCCTCACACACCTCTCCTTCATGTTGTGGCTTGTGGTCTGTGCAAAGTTAGTCCACTTCTAGTCAATAGGTTCATGTTTCAGTTGGAGCGCAGGTGCCAATAAAACTCCATGGGAAAGAAGTTTTGAAAGAAATGTTGAAAAATAAAATGTCACAATGTTCACAATCCTGCCACATTTCTACCTGCCAACATCATGTGTATAGTATGTTGTTTTGAATAATGCCACCAATAATTTTAAGCCACAGTTGATCTGCACTAACAAAGAAGATGCTGCACTTTGTGACATTGTGACTTGTCATGGCTGCCCTGCATCACAATGTTAAACTATAGGCTCTTTGGAAGGTTGTGATGTCACATGAACATATGGGCAGGATCCAGAGCATCTCAAATATGAACCTAATCCACTCTTTGTGAAGGAGAAAACTGAGATGTAACTGTATATGTGATGTTTACAGAAACTACTGTAATGTTTATATGAATTATAATGTAATTCTCATACACATTAGAGGAGTTCTGGCCGGTGCTAGTGCATGGTTGCTAGTGTGATGTCATCAATCACAAACAGGAAGTCAAAATATATGAATAATGTAAAATAAAATTTCTTGCAAATCTATATTTATGCTAACTGTGGTTTGGCGCAGTTTAATTTTAACAATGACCTGTAATAGTGTCCTCCTGTGAAAGCCATATTCATGTCTTCTGATACTCAGCATCAGGGTGGATTATCTCTGATGCTGGTTGATGACTCACAAACACTGAACTACAAACAAATGGTTCAGAACAGATTGTGGGGTTTGCGGAACCTCCATCGCCTGGACACCTCACAGGGACTGGCCTGGGAACACCTCAGGATTCCCCGGATGAGCTGGAGGAGTGTGTGTGGAAGTCTGGGTGTCTGTGCTTAGACTGCTGCCCCCGCAACCCGGCAACGGAAGAAGCGGAAGAAAATGGATGGATGGGGAGGAACGCAGGAGATGAATTTTGCTCAACCTTTCCTCGAGACGTTCATGCAGCAACCAGTCAGAGAGCCGCAAAGTGGTCACGGGACATTAGTGTCTGAGCGAGCAGACTGAAAATACTGTAAACAGCCAAAACAAGAGCCAAACCAGGACTAAACCAGGACTAAACCAGGACTAAACCAGGACTAAACCAGGACTAAACCAGGGTGGACAATGGGGGACATAGTGCGTGTGAACATGTGAGTTGTCATGCTCCCGTGACTTTATGCAACTGCTTCCAGTGTGTTCGCCGATGCGGAAATACCGTTTAATAATAAAATAAACTTATTGCGCACCTCCGTGAACACATACTGCTGTTATATAAAGTCCGTGGAAGGTCTCTGAACACAGACACGCTGCAAAGCTGCATTATTGGAGAAGATCTTTACACAAGAAGCCGCTAGCTAAACTCTGTTAGCATCAGAGCCCGCTGGCTACTTCCGGCACTTCCGGCACGTGCCAAGACCTCGGGTCTGAATAGGGTTACCAACTTGAGAACAAAAAAATAAGGGACATCATTTGGGTGGATCGGGTTGAGCACTTTTTAGTCCTAATTTCAGTCTACACAGTAATTGTAATTTATTGAATACATATAAAAAATAAAAAAAATCCTTAGTCAAAAATGAAATTGAATAAATAGGTGGAACTCTTTGGCTGGTTAAGGACTTAATGCATCCTTATTAGTAATAAAAAAAATATAAAAAAGACAAATACTGTAACATACATTATTTATGAATGTTACAGTAAAGACCAATTTCTGTAGAAGCAAATATAAAAAGAAAAACATATGTATTCATTAAAAAAACTCACAAATCAAAGTCTGTAGCAGTTCGATATGGTCATCATTATTTATATTGTCTGAGAGTTTTGTGCAGGTACTGCAGGTTTGTGGCTTCAGTAAAAGCTATTGTTCGTTTACAAAGCTGGTCTGGACATTTGTTGACGGTCCCTAAGTGCTTTTCTAGGCGCTTGCAGTGCATTGGATTCAAAGGATTTCTCTGCATTAAAACAGCGCACTGGATTCAACGTAGAGATAATCATTTTAGCACAATTACTTTTTTTAACAAAGTAGCTTTCGTGAGCTATTGACCGCAGAAGTCCGAATCTGGGAAAATGACGCTACTTTACCAAACTTCTGCTGTGATGATGCTGCGGGCACGGCCCAGGCTGGCGATTGTCAACATTAAACCAACGTCTGTGATCAAGCCAAGATTTGACCCTGATTGGCCGAAAGGTAGATGCTTAAACTGTGATCATTACTGTGTGTGCGTGTGTCGCGCCTGTGACATGCAGTGAGTGAGTGATGCATTTAAGGTGGCTCTGAAAATACGGGACAAAAGCCGTCCCGTATCAGTTCAATACGGGACGCACATAGTTTTTCTATAATACGGGACAATTCCGTATTTCAAGGGACGGTTGGCCACCCTAGGTCTGAAGACCCCTGCTTCTGAAAACTAGAGAACGTGCCTTTCAGCGTCGCCGGTCGGAAAGCACCATAAGTCAGAATCAGAATCAGAATCATTTTTATTGCCAACGTAAGTAACGGGAGGTCACAGACTTGGAAATTGCTTTGGCTCAGTGCAACAGTCAAAAAGAGATAATAAAAATAAGAATAAAAAACACTTCTAAAGAATAAATTTAAATTTAAAATAGAGTTACAGTTACTATTTACAATATACAAGTGCACATGGTGCACACAATGTAAGGTGACAGCAGTACAGTGAAGTAAAGTGACGTATGATGGGCAGTAAAGTGACTTTATAAAGGGCGGGGGACAGGTTAAGAAGTGTTCAAGAGTCCAACAGCAGAGGGGAAGAAACTGTTCTTGTGGCGGGAGGTTCTAGTCCTGATGGACCGCAGCCTCCTGCCTGAGGGGAGTGGTTGGAATAGTCCATGTGCAGGGTGAGAGGGGTCGGCTGTGATACGACCAGCCCGGCCTCGAGCTCGGGCGACGTACAGGTCCTGCAGCGATGGAAGGCTGCGGCCGATCACTTCCTCTGCAGAGCGCACGATGCACTGTAGTCTCTGTTTGTCCCTGACTGTGGCTCCAGCGAACCACACGGTGATGGAGGAGGTGAGGATGGACTCGATGATGGCCGTGTAGAACTGCACCAACATCTGTGCAGGCAGCTTGGCTTTCCTGAGCTGCCGCAGGAAGTACATCCTCTGCTGGGCCTTCTTGATGAGGGAGCTGATGGTCGGCTCCCACTTGAGGTCCTGGGTGATGGTGGTGCCCAGGAAACGGAAGGACTCCACAGAGGTGATGGGGGAGTCCATCACGGAGGGTGGGGGCGGGGGGACAGTGCTCTTCCTTAAGTCCACAATCATCTCCACTGTCTTCTGGGCGTTCAGCTCCAGGTTGTTACCACTGCACCAGGACACCAGCCGGTCCACCTCCCTCCTGTAGGCGGACTCATCGTTGTTGGAGATGAGTCCAATGAGGGTGGTGTCGTCCGCGAACTTGATCAGCTTCACGGAGTCGTGGCTGGAGGTGCAGTGGTTGGTGTACAGGGAGAAGAGCAGGGGAGAAAGAACACAGCCCTGTGGGGCTCCTGTATTTCTAATCCGAGAGTCCGAGACATTCTTCCCCAGACGCACTCGCTGCTTCCTGTCCGTCAGGAAGTCAGTGATCCACCTGCAGGTGGAATCGGGCACGTTGAGCTGGGAGAGCTTGTCCTGGAGCAGGGATGGCAGGATTGTGTTGAAGGCAGAGCTGAAGTCCACGAACAGGAGCCGTGCGCGCTCCTCTCCTCCTAAGACGCACGAGCAGGCCTCCTCGCTTTCCCCTTTTACGGGCCCACACTTTTTTGGCTAGAACATGAACTAAATCAGCCGCAGATGCCAAGAAAACAGGCAATAGGTCCATGGGAACGGTGGGTCGGATGTTCATAAGTTCCTCACGGGTGTAGGAACAGCCAGATGCACAGTTAAAAAGTAAAAACAAAAGAAAAAGAGAGCAGCAAAGAGCCATGTCGACCGTACGAGGCGCCATCTTGTTCCACGTGATCCTTTTTATGCAAAATGTAACATGTAAATATCTCCATCGTGAAATCAATAAAGTCCAAAAAATGAAAAAGCTTTTTGGAAGGAAATGGGAAGAAAATACTGTTTGAAAAGAGAAGAAAACTCTGTGTTTCTCAGCGGCCCCAGTCAGAGCTGAGTGTGTTTCTCAGCGGCCCCAGTCAGAGCTGAGTGTGTTTCTCAGCGGCCCCAGTCAGAGCTGAGTGTGTTTCTCAGTGGCCCCAGTCAGAGCTGAGCCAGTCGCCCCAAAACACGACTGTCGGCCGAGCTCAGCGCCGCCTCTGATCTGCCGCTGGCATAAGTGGCTAATCCTCCCCCCCTCCTGACATCCTGAAGGAGGGCTTAACTGGATCATTCCCCTCCATTACCCTGGGTTAGACTGGGTTAGACTGGGTTAGACTGGGTTAGACTGGGTTAGACTGGGTTACCCGAGTTCTGTGCGCTGGTCTGGGGCCGTCTGATGAGAATGTGCCTTTCTTCTGACGAGTGGAGGGTTTGTGTGTCTTTTGGAATTTGTTCTTGTTTTTTTTTTGCTTTTGACAATGTAACAAAGTTCATCCAACACCGACCAGAAGTTGTTTTTATCTTCATCCACGCCAGTATCAGCTCATAGCAAATGAAAACGGTGCAGATCCGTGAGGTCTGGATGTTGCAAATATGCATTTTATCATAATTTGTTTATTCAGACTCTAGATCCACAAAAGCCAGGACAAGAATCACAGACACTCCCAAATAAAAAATACATAACATCTGTATCCATAAAGAAGACTGAGGTAGATTCCCCATTAGGACACATGGGAGCACTGGTCAAAAAAATCAACAATAACCTAGCCATGACAGGAAACAATGAATTCTACCATTGTCTGTCTCATCTTGAGCCTCGACTCCAGAAACCTGAAATCGAACATCACAGACAGTACCAGAGTTTCTTCATCAATAATATGAACTGTAGAGCAAACGTCTGTTCAGGGCCCCCACAGAACCATAAGCCCGGGCAGCTCGAGCCAATGCCAGCTGGTTTGTTGTTGTCTTGTGGTGGGACTGGACTGAAGCCACATCCACTGAGGCCCCTGCTCGGCTCCACCAACACAACGTGCCACATCCACATACATCTGGCCCTGGCGCTCAGGCCACATGTGCCACTATGTTCTCATGATCTTTCATCTCTGTTTTGTCATTGGGATCATGCTTTGGTCTCATCTTGGCCAACACTGTTTATTGGCTGCCCTGAAATAGAGCGTGTACTTATGGTTTGCAGCAGGCCATGGGTATGAGCAGCTGAAATATTACAATCAGACTATTTGGAAAAAACAATAACTCAATACAGCTGTATACAGGATTTAAATGAATATAGTAATATTATATGCAAAAATGTAATGGGGAGAATCCCAAATCCACCGACATTTTGGAGATGCTTAAGTCTAAAACACAGTTCAGAGCTGATGTAGCTTCAAAGTACAGTTAGTCAAACACATGAGAGTTTCATTTGTTTTTTATATTATCAACGCATAACTCCTGTAACTGTGGCGAAGAGGGAGGAAGAACCAAAACATAAAGTAAGAGTATGTCACACTGTCAAGCATATAAGTAAAAGCAAAAGTGTCATGCTTGAAAACTACCAATGTTTGAGCAGAAGTTCAGACTGGAAGACTGGACGTTTGCTTAAGCTCACTGCTGCTGTGGCCGCATCAGTCACACTCACCCGGTAGCTCCGCGCTGTCACAGTCATCAAGCTTTCATATCGTGCAGCAACCCACCTCCTCCCCATCAGCGCCCCATCATCCAGACCAGCTCTTCGGCCCCTCTCCCATCTGATAACATCTATTTTGATTCCCCCTTCTGAATTCCACAAGCAGTGCTCTGCCGAGGCCTAAGCACCAAATCTGAACCTACATTTCACGAATATAATTACATTCAAAACAGATTCCTACGCATTAACGATAAACATCATTCTACTGCTCCCTTTGAGTCTGTTGAGTCTGTCCAGAACGAAAAGGCACAATGTCATAAACAAGTTCTCAGGTAATGCATCTGAGTGTAGCCTCCCCATCTGGTCCCTATGCAGAGTGCAGACACTTAGCTCAGCAGGCGGAGAACCTTGTAAATGTTTCTTTATGGGGTTTATGAGGGTAAAGAGATCACACAACAAAGAACGTGCAGAGCTTGTAAACATACTGTCTGTGAAGTGTCTGCTCAGAGATGCACTGCAGGCTTTCTCTCTCTCATCTCTAGACATACATTATTCAAACCATGTTATACCCATGTAAAAATATAATCAACAATCAGGAACTTCTGGCACAAAATCAAGACATACACTTCCCACTTCCCCATCTGTCCAAATACTCAGAATAAGATATGATGATGAACGTCGCCATATTCTGTCGTCTAAAACAAAAATCTATCCATCTAGTTTCTTCCCCTTTATCCATGACCAGGTTTCAGAAGCAGCAGTCTGAGAAGAGCACCACATCTCCCAGTAGATGGGAGTGTTGCTAGTCCAATAATCTCTTACTCAATTTTTCTTCAAGTAATTCTGCTTTCTGGATCTACAGCCTCAGTCCTGGATCTACAGCCTCAGTCCTAGGTCTACAGCCTCAGTCCTAGATCCACAGCCTCAGTCCTGGATCTACAGCCTCAGTCCTGGATCTACAGCCTCAGTCCTGGATCTACAGCCTCAGTAAGATACTTTTGGAAGCACTTTTGGATCAATGACTACTATGCGTTTGTCGATATTGTATTTCCTGTGTTTGAATTGTTTGATTTTCCGATCTTTCGTTGGCGAATCTACAACTTTGTTGAGTCCACCCATAGGATGTGATATGGCTATACAAAAATAAATGCATCGTATAAATGTGTAAAGAAATACGAAAAAAGATATAGATACAAAATGTTCCTGACTTTGGAAATCCCATTTTACTGTTAAATATGAAAATGTAAACATCATTTAATAATTGAAAGAACGTAGACCAAAATGTTTCTTCTGTGAAAGGCAGACGAATCCCATACATAGCTTTGAATTCACACCGACAGTTTATTGGCAGAAAGATGAATACAAACACGATCTCGTCATGGAGCTTAGAGTTTTTGCTGCACCCCCATCACCCACACGTCGCCCAGTCTCTGGCTCCGCCCCCGCAGAGGGAGGGGTCTGCGGCCGCAAACGACACAATTGTAGCTTAAGACAAAGCACTTAAGAAAGAGAGTGAGGGGCCCCCATCCCTCCCACACCACTGCTAAGGCCAATTACTGCTATAGAACATACAAACAGGAGCTGCACTCAGGTTCAAGAAACACAGAATAATACTGTGAGAAATAATAAAACCTTATGAAACAATGCAACAAATAGAACTATGATGAATGAAACAAAAGACATGGAGAAGGTGTGAGGATGCGACAAACTCGGAGTGTGTGTGTTTGTGTGAGTGTGTGTGTGTTCGTGCGTGTGTGTGTGTGTGTGTGTGTGTGCCAAACTCACCCTGAGTGCAGGCAGCTCCGCTGAAGCCCGGGCAGCACTTCCACTCCAGAGACGTCACTGTGCGATACACCAACTTATACGACGGACGCAGCACACTGCGGTAACTACACACACACACACACACACACACACACACACACACACACACACACACACACACACACGGTTATGTTTTCATTGCACTGAAAACATGTGTCCTTACGGTTAGCGGTCTTACATCTCAAAAAACCTAACGTGTAATTTCCATGAAAGGGTCTCCTCTGTTTCCATGGAAACAAACTGTAGTTATGTAGTATGTTCATCTTACCATTACGTACTGTTGTGCTTGAAAATTAACACAAAGATGTTTTGGCCATATTTCTAATTATAATGGCAAAATATCCTAATTATAAGTTTCCATCCCCTGTCCTCAAAGCAATTTGCTCTTTCAACATCTTGAAGTCATCGTGATATTCTTTATCCTGAGTAAAGCTGCCCATTCTTCTAAGCAAAAAGTCTCCAGTTCCAACAAATCTACAATTAGTACGTAAATATTTAGTGAAAGTAACTTAAAAGTAATGCAGTAGAAGTGTAATGCATTACAATTCAGACAGTAAGGGTTAGGGTAGTGTAACACATTACTTTCAAATAATAGTAAATTAAAAGAAATGTGCACTTTATTGTCCCCGTAGGGAAATTTGTCCTCTGCATTTGACCCATCCTGATGTTGCAAAGGCTTACAGTCCGTCAGGAGCAGTGGTCGCCGTAGTAACAGCGCCCGGGACCCCATCTCCAGATGTTGATGCTCGGCTTGGTCAGGACCAGAGCTGGAGGATTTAACCTAGTGTGCACCCGGAGGAGACCTGAGCAGACACGGGGAGAACATGCAAACTCCACTCAGAGAGGCCCCGTTCCAACTGGGATTCGAACCCAGGACCTTCTGTCTGCGATTCGAGAGTGCTATCCACTCAACCACCGTGCCACCCTGCCGTAGTAACGAGTACAGTATTTGAAGTGATTTGTGTGTATGTGTATCTCCAGTGTGTGTATGTGTATCTCCAGTGATTGTGTGTATCTCGAGAGTGTGTCCATGCGTTGTGTAGTTGTGTGTAGTTAGTGCACATGGTACTGACCTGCCTCCGCTGCAGCCCTGTGGCCAGCGGCAGCTCTGGTAAACCCTCTGAACCACCGTCCCATTCTGCACCTGACACGTCACCGTCTTGGTCACTGTGTGCGGACACCAGTTCCTGAGGACACACACACACACACACACACACACACACACACATGTTAGCAAGTGTGATACATGATACTGGGAAATAAACATAATCATAAGGAGTTTTTATTATGCATAACTCACCAGAACCAAGTAATGATTCCACATAATTAAACCAGGGGTATCAAACTTATTTTGGTTGAGGGCCGAATAAAAAAAGAAAGGGCTGGTCAGAGGCCGAAAAAATAAGTGGGTTTCATTTATTTAAAAAATTTGGAATATGAAGGTATCTAAATAAATGACTTGTATCACATTAGTTAGATTGGACATTCTTTTCTGATTAGAATTAGTTCAGTTACTGTGGCCCGAACCAAAACTGGACCAAAACTGGACCAAAACTGGACCAAAACTGGACCAAATATTAAAGGTATATACAGTAGGAGGATATTCTACTTTTCTGTGGACTCATCAAGACTATTGCTCCTCCCAGTTGTCAATCATTCGGGTGATTCGTGCTCGTCCAATAAGACCAGACGGTTTTGTTCAAAAAGTGGAGAGGGCGGTTCTTTCATTAGAAAATTTGGAAATCCTTTATTTATTATGGAATTAAATGTTATGGCTGTTCTCTTAGTAATGGATAACATGCCATTGTCGCCGATTACCATCAATGCTGCTGTTTAATATAATCATTTAAGATCATCTCAAGGGCCACTGGAAATGGTCTTGACTTTGACACCTGTGATTTAAACGGAGCAGAAGAGAGTGACATCAGGCGCCTGCAGCCGGGACTCTCCGTGACCGTTTTAATGAACTGCTTTAGAGGTTAAGTTTAGAATGAAGATATGGAACTAAGTGTGTATCCTGTAGAATGAATGATCACATGAACATAACACAATCACCATAGATACAGTAAACATGCCTAAATACAGTGTAATATCTGCTCTAAGTTTTAACCCTTAATGTTCATTCCTCGAAGCGAAGAAAGCAATGCAATTTTTTCTTGATTTTCTATAATGTGAACCTATAGTTTTTTTTTTTCAAATATAGGCCTTCACCAAATGGTTGAGATGCACTTTGATGGTAAAGTGCCTCAAACCAAGTGAGATATAGAGACTCCAATTAGCATTATTAGATCCAATTAGATATAAAGGGCGGCACGGTGGCTGAGTGGATAGCACTCTCGCCTCTCAGCAAGAAGGTCCTAGGTTCGAATCCCAGTTGGACCAGGGCCTTTCTGAGTGGAGTTTGCATGTTCTCCCCGTGTCTGCGTAGGTTTCCTCCGGGTGCTCCGGTTTCCCCTACCACTAAAAATATGTACAATAGGTCTGGCATGTGCCTCCTGTACTGGCACCCCCACTCCCAAAAATCACAATTGTAAACCGCTTTGAGACTCCGATGTGCAGTGAAAAGGCGGTATATAAATAAAGATTACTACTACTACTACTACTACATTATGCAGATGTATCTTACACCTACAGTGGACTTCAGAATGTGGTACCAGCCGCCGTGACATGAACAATTGAAGAAGATGACATACAGTAGTCTGGGATCGCGTCTTTCATTCAGACAGAAGACATGTTTTATTGTCGATGGTAGAGACAGCACGAACAACACGATCACAGATACAACAGAATGCAAGTGTATTATACAGAGCGGAGGCATGGAGACCTCCAATCAGCAGCTGCCACAGTGCCATGTAGCTTGGCCTTCAGATAGACAAAACAAGGGAAAAGTACTGGCTTCTGCACATGGATAGAATGATGAGTTTAACTTTAACAAAAGTTGCTTCAAAGTGTTATGAAATCTCACACAATCACAAGTTGGATCTGCGGCACTGACAGCGAGCACAGGTACGTTGTATTTCTGTGTGTGTTCCATTACAGAACAACTTCCTCTGGTCCTGTACACAGCACCCACTGCAGACGCCTCCTCCTGAACCCGGCTTCTGAAAACCCAGCCTCTGTTGTCAACACGGGTCCAGAAACGCAGGTCTTCGGTGTGAGGCTTATGTAACTACGATGTGTGAACTCAAAGATGCGCTCTGCAACATTTCCATTCTGCTGACTGCTCCTCCGCCCCAGTGCATTGTGGGAGGTGAGGGCCATGTTTGCTTTGGGCAGGAGACGTTACATCAGCGGGTTACAGTGCGGTCACCCCTGGGCAGAACATGCTGAGGTCAGGTCTGTGCACACACATGGGGCCGAACGTGTGACATCACTGCAGGCCTCACTTCTGCGTCAGGGGTCAATTTATCAGAAGTATTTGATCTCATGTGTTGAATCTATATGCCTGAGTTCATATAAAACAGAAACAAATGAATCAGTTGTTGGACGAGAGAACAAGTATGAAGATAAGCTAACATCATGCTAACTGTTGTTTTGTTTAGCGTCAGTAACTATGCTTGTAGAAGTAACTAAGTTTGTAGAAGTAGAAGTAATGAAGCAAACGTCCCCAGAACAAACCAACTGTGTTTGTGAAGGACTTTAAGGTAGAATAAGGAAAGTAACACTAATGTCTCCTTTAATAACCCTTGGCCCTCATTGAAATTGCAGATGTTCCAGAATCAGTAAAGAGCGAAACATCCCAAACGCAGCTCAGAGGTTGACTATAACAGGAATAACTTTATGTCTGATAAATGTGGCGTAGGTTTCCTCCGGGTGCTCCGGTTTCCCCTACCACTAAAAATATGTACAATAGGTCTGGCATGTGTCTCCTGTACTGGCCCCACTCCCATCTCTGTGAGGAGTGAGAGACAAATGCCCAAAAATAACAATTGTAAACCGCTTTGAGACTCTGGTCTGTGAAAGGCGGTATATAAATAAAGATTACTTACTTACTTGAATATTGAACCAGTTCTAAAATCAACTATTATACTAGTATTATATGTATTTAACGCCACTTTGCATCCATTGTTTTATTTATAAAGAGCAAAAAGGTGAACTCCATGCGGCCATTGTGCATAATCATAATAGAATGACCTCGTCCACTGCATCTCTGCTGTTGGACCAACCTTCAGGATTTAGGCGGAGATCCTGTTTATGATCCAGAGACTGCTCTAGCGTCATAAATGTTTGTGAACCTCTGTGTGTGGTTCATGTTTAACCCGTTCACACACAACAGGTTTCTCTGAGTCTGAAAAGTGAATCAACATCATTCACTCATGTTGGTGTGAGCTTCTGTCAGTGGAGTGAGAGCAGCTGATATATATATCTGTCCAGGAGAGGGCGCTGCACACACAGTACAGTCCTGATGTAGTTTGAGCAGCTGCGGTTTCTGCCTCTGGGTGAAGGATCTGGATCTTTAAAAGCATTTACAGCACAGAAGGTTAAGTAAGGAGCAGAAGAGAGAAAGGGAGAAGGACGGACGAGGAATTGCCATTTTCAGACGAAGGGTACAGCTGTTTATTTAATACCCACGTATTTATAGGCATAATGAAAGTGCAGTGGTATCAAACCAGTCTTCAAAGAGCCAGTGTGAATGCAGGACTTCATTCCAACCCAAGCAGGAACACACCAGACTCCACCCATTCCCTCGAGTCTTCAGGTCAAAGAGCGACTAAAAACCAAATCAACTTTTTTTTAACCTGGTGCATCAGCAACAACTGAGACTATAGGCTTGGTTTGGCGGACCGTGTCTGTGACCTAAAACTAAAATTCTGTGGCTTTATCGCAGAAAATAGCCTGTTGTTCAGAATATCGCTACAGCTGGTAGATTTAATTAAACCATTTGCAGTTGATCAAAGTGCACTGTCAAGGTTGACCATACTTCTGCACACATGGCATGGCAGAACGATATAAAGAAGATCTAGCCACCAAGTTGATAGAGAGACCTTTTTCTTTAAACATTGACGAGTCCACAAACAAAAATGTGGACAGAATTTTGAACGTCCTTTTGCGATATTTTGACGAGGACAGAGCCAAAGTGTTGACGCTCCATCTCGCCTCAAGAAAAGCCAATGTTGTGGATGCAATTACTCTCACTTATAAGTTGCTTGATCCATTTGTTGTAATTTCACATCAAAATACACCAGTTTAAATGTATATCTCTGAAGAATTCATTTGATCTGTAATTCATTATACATTAATATATTGTGATTAAAAATATAACATGTTCCTGCATATGACTGTGATTTACAACATGTGATAAATTTCCATGAGAACATTTTCAGTCAAATCTTTTTTTGTTTTACCCCTGCCCTTGGTCCTTCAGGCAACACCCTTTTAGAGAACATTTTCTAATGTTCATGTGGGCGGAGTCAGGCTGGGCACAGGTGTTTAGTCGCTCTTTAAGACTAGACTCACTTGAGGAAAGGGTGGAGTCTGATGTGCTCCTGCTTGGTTGGAATGAAGTCCTGCATTCACGGACTGGTTTGTCACCTCCTGCTTTAGCTTAAACATGTTTTTTATGGCTTGTGTTCAGGTTGAAATATTATACTCAGACATTGTTTCTCTTGTTGTACACAGGGAAATGCCAGTCACTGTATTTCCTATGGTTTATGAACAATAAAATACATAGTTGTCTAAATATTCCAAAAGGCGTCAGTGATTGATGTGAGAGTCGCTCTGGAGGTTCCCAGGCTCCTGCACCTGGGAAAGGCCTCTGCAGAAGCTTCTTTACAGCTCACCAGCCCAGAGGAAGTGGAGACCGCAGCAGCATTAGGAGACCAGAGACCAGAGACCTCACACTGGGGGAACCGTGAGCGCTGCCAGCTACACACATGCACACATCTACACGCACACACACACACACACATCTACACGCACACACACACACACACACACGCACACGCACACGCACACGCACACACACGCACACACACACATCTACACGCACACACACACACACACACACACACACACGCACATGCACACACATACACACACACACACGCACACACATACACACACACACACGCACACACACACACACCCACGCACACACACGCACACACACACATCTACACGCACACACACGCACACACCCACGCACACGCACACACACACACACACACATATGCACGCACACATTTAC